GTTCATTCATTCATTCGTTCGTTTGTTCGCTCGTTCGTTCGTTCATTCGTTCCTTCATTCATTCATTCATTAATTCTTTCATTCCTACGTTCGTTCGTTCATTAATTCATTCCTTCATTCATTCATTCCTTCGTTCATTCCTTTATTAATTCATTCATTCATTCCTTCATTCCTTCATTCATTCCTTCATTCGTTTGTTCATTCATTAATTCATTCATTCATTCATTTGTTCGTACATTCATTAATTCATTCCTTCATTCATTCGTTCTTTCGTTCATTTCTTCATGCCTTCATTCATTCATTTCTTCATGCCTTCATTCATTCATTTCTTCATTTGTTCGTTCATTCATTCATTCGTTCCTTCGTTCATTCCTTCATGCCTTCATTCACTTATTAATTTGTTTGTTCGTTCGTTCATTCATTCGTTCATTCATTCATTCATTCATTCATTCGTTCGTTCATTCATTCATTCATTCATTCCTTCGTTCATTCATTCCTTCGTTCATTCATTCGTTCATTCATTCATTCATTCATTCATTCGTTCGTTCATTCATTCATTCATTCATTCCTTCGTTCATTCATTCCTTCGTTCATTCATTCGTTCATTCATTCATTCATTCATTCATTCGTTCGTTCATTCATTCATTCATTCATTCCTTCGTTCATTCATTCCTTCGTTCATTCATTCGTTCATTCATTCATTCATTCATTCATTCGTTCGTTCATTCATTCATTCATTCATTCCTTCGTTCATTCATTCCTTCGTTCATTCATTCGTTCATTCATTCATTCATTCATTCATTCGTTCGTTCATTCATTCATTCATTCATTCCTTCGTTCATTCATTCCTTCGTTCATTCATTCGTTCATTCATTCATTCATTCATTCATTCGTTCGTTCATTCATTCATTCATTCATTCCTTCGTTCATTCATTCCTTCGTTCATTCATTCGTTCATTCATTTATTCATTCATTAATTCATTCATTCCTTCATTCATTTGTTCGTTCATTCATTCCTTCGTTCATTCATTTGTTCATTCATTCATTCCTTCGTTCATTCCTTCATTCATTCATTCCTTCGTTCATTCATTCATTAATTCATTCATTCCTTCATTCATTCCTTCATTCATTCATTCCTTCGTTCATTCCTTCATTCATTCATTCCTTCGTTCATTCATTCATTCCTTCATTCATTAATTCGTTCATTAATTAATTCATTCATTCCTTCATTCATTTGTTCGTTCATTCATTCGTTCATTCATTAATTCATTCATTCCTTCATTCCTTCATTCATTCATTCCTTCGTTCATTCATTCATTCATTCATTCCTTTATTCATTTGTTCGTTCATTCATTCATTCATTCCTTCGTTCATTCATTCCTTCATTCATTCGTTCGTTCATTCATTCATTCATTCCTTCGTTCATTCCTTCATTCATTCATTCCTTCGTTCATTCATTCGTTCATTCATTCATTCATTCATTCATTCATTTGTTTGTTCATTCATTCCTTCATTCCTTCGTTCATTCCTTCATTCATTCCTTCGTTCATTCATTCCTTCATTCATTCATTCATTCGTTTGTTCATTCATTCATTCATTCCTTCGTTCATTCCTTCATTCATTCATTCCTTCATTCATTCATTCGTTCATTCATTCATTCCTTCATTCCTTCATTCATTCATTCCTTCGTTCATTCGTTCATTCATTCATTCATTCATTCGTTCGTTCATTCATTCATTCATTCATTCCTTCGTTCATTCCTTCATTCATTCATTCCTTTGTTCATTCATTCATTCCTTCATTCATTCATTCGTTCATTAATTCATTCATTCATTCCTTCATTCATTTGTTCGTTCATTCATTCGTTCATTCATTAATTCATTCATTCCTTCATTCCTTCATTCATTCATTCATTCCTTCATTCATTTGTTCGTTCATTCATTCCTTCGTTCATTCATTTGTTCATTCATTCATTCCTTCGTTCATTCCTTCATTCATTCATTCCTTCGTTCATTCATTCATTCATTCATTCCTTCGTTCATTCATTCCTTGGTTCATTCATTCGTTCATTTCGTTCGTTCGTTCGTTCATTCCTTCGTTCATTCATTTGTTCATTCATTCATTCATTCGTTCGTTCTTCCTAAAGGTCCAAAATAAACATTTATTAAAACCCTGAATTATAAAAATAATGTTATGTGGAAGTCATTTCCATTTAAATATGTAATAATTTTTAATTTTATATATTTGTAAAAATTTTTAAATGTTAAATTTTATTTTTTTAATTTTTATTTTAATTTATTTATTTTATTTAGAATTTTATTCTAAATGTGTTATTTCATTTAAATGTGTTATTTTTACATTTTTTATTATTGTATTAGTATTTAAAAAAATATATTATTATATATATTTTTTGATTTTGTATTTGTATTTTTGTTTGTTTGTTTTGAATTTTTTTTTTTTGGAAAACGTATTCCTAAAATCTTGTTTGTCTGTGTTCCAGATGCACAAGAGACAGAGACGAGGAGCGAGACGCCAGCGAGCGCAGACCCCCGTCACTGCTGACTCCGACACGGCCGTCTATGTGGAGGTCCTGTGAGCTCAGACTGTGTGCATCTTCACTGTGTGCTGTTACTCCTGCTTCAGCTCGCCTCCAGAAATAAAGAAATAAACTCTGTGTTTGGCATCTCAAGATGCAGTGATGCGTGTGAGTTTTTTCATATTTTATTTGATTCCATTTTACTAACATTTATTTCCAGTTATTGTTTGTTTTAGTTTTTATTCTATTATCATTGAAATGCTATTGTAGTTTTTATTATAATTTCTAATTATTTTTTATTTTAATATCTTCCATGTTTATTTTCATTTTAGTGAGATTTAGTAAATTGTAGTGTTTTTTTGTTGCTTTTTTTATTTTTATGGTTTTTATGTCTGTATAGTTTTTTATTCATTTCGGTTTCAGTTTTAGTTATTTTACTACTCTAAGTTAAACTAAATTAAAATGAGGTGTTCTTAAAAAAAGTTCATGGTTGTTATGCATATATATACTGTATATACTGTATATATATAATGTTTATCAGGGTTATTATAATTTACTAAAACTGAAACCGAAACTAAAACAATACAAAATAAAAGAAACATTAACTGAAATAAAATATAAAATCTTTTTTTCAGCTTCTTGCCAAGGCAACATTTCTCATTTTAATTTAGTCTCAATAAAAACATATATATTAGTAATGTTTTTTTGGTGGTTTTAGTTTTAATTTGATGTGTTAACTAACAAAATGCAATCTGAGATTCACGAAAGGCACGTTACTTTTACAATATTGTTTGTTATGTATGCAAAAAAATTTATTATTGACAGTTTTTAGATGTATTTTAACAGGGCTCTCAGCTGAAGACATTTGTTTTTAATGAAGTGACAAGCTTTGCTGAAATTATTGAACTAATCTCATAAATCCTAAATCTTTTTTTTGCAAAGAAAAGGTACCTGGAACATTACTAGCGACTGACTTTATATAATAATACATAAATACAATACATTTTTTATTATTGTATTAGTATTTAAAAAAATATATTATTATATATTTTTTTTGATTTTGTATTTGTATTTTTGTTTGTTTGTTTTGAATTTTTTTTTTTTGGAAAATGTATTCCTAAAATCTTGTTTGTCTGTGTTCCAGATGCACAAGAGACAGAGACGAGGAGCGAGACGCCAGCGAGCGCAGACCCCCGTCACTGCTGACTCCGACACGGCCGTCTATGTGGAGGTCCTGTGAGCTCAGACTGTGTGCATCTTCACTGTGTGCTGTTACTCCTGCTTCAGCTCGCCTCCAGAAATAAAGAAATAAACTCTGTGTTTGGCATCTCAAGATGCAGTGATGCGTGTGAGTTTTTTCATATTTTATTTGATTCCATTTTACTAACATTTATTTCCAGTTATTGTTTGTTTTAGTTTTTATTCTATTATCATTGAAATGCTATTGTAGTTTTTATTATAATTTCTAATTATTTTTTATTTTAATATCTTCCATGTTTATTTTCATTTTAGTGAGATTTAGTAAATTGTAGTGTTTTTTTGTTGCTTTTTTTATTTTTATGGTTTTTATGTCTGTATAGTTTTTTATTCATTTCGGTTTCAGTTTTAGTTATTTTACTACTCTAAGTTAAACTAAATTAAAATGAGGTGTTCTTAAAAAAAGTTCATGGTTGTTATGCATATATATACTGTATATACTGTATATATATAATGTTTATCAGGGTTATTATAATTTACTAAAACTGAAACCGAAACTAAAACAATACAAAATAAAAGAAACATTAACTGAAATAAAATATAAAATCTTTTTTTCAGCTTCTTGCCAAGGCAACATTTCTCATTTTAATTTAGTCTCAATAAAAAAATATATATTAGTAATGTTTTTTTGGTGGTTTTAGTTTTAATTTGATGTGTTAACTAACAAAATGCAATCTGAGATTCACGAAAGGCACGTTACTTTTACAATATTGTTTGTTATGTATGCAAAAAAATTTATTATTGACAGTTTTTAGATGTATTTTAACAGGGCTCTCAGCTGAAGACATTTGTTTTTAATGAAGTGACAAGCTTTGCTGAAATTATTGAACTAATCTCATAAATCCTAAATCTTTTTTTTGCAAAGAAAAGGTACCTGGAACATTACTAGCGACTGACTTTATATAATAATACATAAATACAATATGACATAAATAGTACATAAAAAGAAATAAAATAAAATAAATAATGAAATTAAAAAAAAGTTGTATGCCTCTTTCTTCTGAGACTTCTGATGACTTCCATCGATTCTGTGTTTGTGCGAGTGAAAGGACTTTTATTCTGCAGTCTAGCGTGTTCCGGCGGCGGGCGGAAGTGACGTCACGTGTTGTGGATCGAGAGGGAGCATCTCACAGACTACAATAACACGCATATAAAGCGCTTTCTGAGCTCCGGACCTCGGTACAGTGTTCTTGGTTTAATGCAGTCGAGTCTGAATGACTCCAGCGCGGTTTCTGCCGCTTTAATGAGCGCTGTATTGTTCGCTAACAGCAGCGCTCAGTGCGATGAAGCCTTTATTATAGTTATTTACTTTGATGTCGATCCGTTAATACTCAGATAGTTTGCATTTATGTCAAGTATTTGAGTAAAAGAATCAAACCTGTCATGTTGCCGCGATGCGGTGTCTGATTTGTGACCGAATCGTTCATTTGAGTCGATTCGCAGTTCGAACTAAACGACTCACTAGTGAATCAGTCTGAATCAGAATCTTTTTAAGCTTGTTTTTTGTGTAAAACTCTTATCCAGCAATCACAAACGAGTGGAAATGTCGTGGGTGAAGTCATGAAAATGCTTTTTTTATAGCTCATAGGTGTTATGCAGGCTTTCATGTACATATTATGATGATTTTCACTGTTTTCACATGATATGCCTTTGATGTGCAGTGCTTTCAGGTTTTCTGAGACCAGAAGCAAGAGTTTAATTTGAGGAGCATGCCTGAAATCAAACTCAAGCGTGTCGTGGCGTGCAGCAGTGAGGACAGTGTAAGTCGTTTCTATATGTAATGAAGAATAATAAGATTTAGTGGCTTTCCAAAAGCTCCAGGCCGCTTTACAATCAGCACACACTGATCTGAACTGGAGAAGAGTCGTAAAAGAGTCACTGAAATGAATCAAACTGGCCAACTCTGGTTCACGAGTCACAAGAACAGCTCTGTGTGTTTGTTAATGAATCAGTTGTTCTGCACAGACTCACAAAGCAGATAACCTCCTGAGCTGCGACTCCTGCAGAAAATGGAGAGCTGGAGAGAAGCACGTTTCAGTCATTCTTCAGGTGTGACTGTTTTATTTCTGGCTATTTTTGTATTTTTTAATAAAAAACAAACAAACAAAAAAAATATAAAAAAATTTTTTTGTAACTATACATATTTTTAATACAGTTTTAATAATTAAACAAATCAAAAATAATACGTGTTATTTATATATATTTTTAAAACAATTTAAAAATATTTTTAATAATAGAAAAATATATTTATTTTTAATACGTATTTTTTATATTTTTAAAAACAATTTAAACATTTTTAATAATTAAAAAAGATGTTATTTATAAATAATTTTTTTAAAAACACATAATTTTATATATTTTTCAACAACAATTCAAACATTTTAATAAATAAAAAATAATGTGTTATTTATATATTTATTTTTTAATACACATAATTTTTAAAACAATTTAAAAATATTTTTAATAATAAAAATATATATTTATTTTTAATACATATTTTTTATATTTTTTAAAACAATTTAAACGTTTTTAATAATTAAATAAAATAATAAGTGTTATTTATAAATACATTTTTTTATACACATAATTTTATATATTTCAAAACAATTCAAACATTTTTAATAATAAATAAAAAATTATAAATAAAACAATTCAAACATTTTAATAAATAAAAAATGTGTCATTTATATATTTATTTTTTAATACACATAATTTTTTAAAGAATTTAAAAATATTTTTAATAATAAAAAAATATATTTATTTTTTAATGCGTATTTTTTATATTTTTAAAAATAATTTAAACGTTTTTAAAAGATAAATATATAAATAATAAGTGTTATTTATATATTTATCTTTTAATACACACAATTTTTTATATTTTTTAAAAATATTTTTAATAATATAAAAACAATTAAAAAATATTTTTAATACTTAATAATATAAAAAAATGTTTTATTTATATATTTATTTTTTAATACACATAATTTTACATTTTACTTACTTGAAATATTATTCATTAAATGTTAAAGTCCCCCTGTAGTCAAATATTTTATCCCTTAAAACTTATCTTTGATCATCAAAATTACATATTTAAATGTTTTTTCTTGTGAAAATAATTTTCTCATGCCTTAAAATAGCTTGAATGTAACTCTACACCCTTGCCTCATTTAATATACGCGGATCTATGAACATGCAAATTAGGCCCGCCTCCACTCAGTCACACAGCCAGCGCCTCCTGATCCACTGAACTGTAGTAACCGCAAAACAATGACTGATAAAACTATCTTTTTATTAGCGGACAACTACAGTGAATACTCTAACATTCGTTAAAGTTACTTACTTGACGATGTTGTGTCCTAAAATGCGGTTCTAAATTCACATTAAACCACAGCTTCATGGGTTTTTTGCTCTGATTTATTTTTGGTTTTGTGCTGGTATTG